CTGTAGGTCAACTGGCTTTTCTAAAATCCACCTTAGATGTGAATGTGTGTGTTAACGGTTGTTTGTCCTGTTTGTCTCTTTGTTACGGTGCGATGGACTGGCCACCTGTCCAGGGTGTACCCCGACCCTCGCTAGACAGCTGGAAATAGGCACCAGCACCGCTCGCGACGCCGCTTGGGATAAGTGTGACGGAAATGAATGATCTCACAATGCAGAAATTAACTCTCTGCATTTAACCCATCCCATCGGGGTGCAGTGGGCTGCCATTGTGTGGCACCCTGAGAGCAGTGTGGGATTTAGGGTTTTTCTCAGGAACCCAGATTGGAGGCTGTGGGGATCTGACCGCGGATTTAAAACCTTTTCAGAGCACAAGTGCACTGCTATAACCACTAGCTAACACTCCCCAATCAGAAGTCTCTAAGATAAAAAAGTTGCTTTATTAGAGTCTGTCTACAACACTTCTTGTTATTCCTTATGAATTTAAACTATTGCTTTAGCAGCAACGCTTCTTATATTTGTCATAATTTTCCTCCTGAGATCTTTTATGGTGTGTATTGAATCAGAAGACGTTAGATAAGCTCATTAGGAGGACCAACTCTGTCCCAGGATGCTCCCTGGACAGGGTGCAGGTGGAAGACTGTTAGACAATGTTTCCAGACTCATGCATGAAGTTATTAATGAGCTAAGAGCACATTCAGTGAAATACTGTTGCATTCTAGACACACAAACAAGCGCCTCTACAGATTCTTCCTTCCAGCTGCTGTTATACTTCATAGTCTTTGCTAATTCCTACTGTAGAGAGCCAGTAAATGTTTGCAAACATCCACAAGTTCCTGATCTAAACAGTTCAGTTATTTGCACTTTTCTGCTCCCCTTGAGATGTTTCCTACAGGTTAATGGACATCCATGCTAACGATTCCAGATGGAAATGACCATCTTGTTAGGAATCCAGTTTGTTTGGGTTGTGTTTTTTTTCCCTCCACCACCAGGTGGCGCCTGGTTCTCTTTGGCCTCCTCACACACCTGCGGATGGTTGCCTCATTACTGGAGGACTCTTAAGCTGCTGACTGCCCCTACCTTGACGCCAGAGTGTTTGCCAGGTTTGGGTACTCTAGCCAAGCTGAGTTTTGCTGAGTCAAACTGAGTTTTTGTCAACCTGAGCCTTAACGTTGTCGTTTTTTTTTGTCTTTGCCTTTCGGCAGGAAGTCACCCTGCTAACTGGATGTTTTGGACCTTCTCCCCCTGAAAGGATCATCTGAGCTTCAAACTGAGCTGAGGATTCAAACTGGAGGTTTGGATCAACCTTTCCCCAAAGGATTGTTTGAGCTTCTCACTGAGCAGGGGATTCATCCCCACAAGAAACCGTTCAAGTACCATAGGAAATCTAAGTGGCAGTCAGCTCCTCCGTTTCTCTAAGAAAACACCTCAACCTGGGTAAATCCTGTCCGCCCGCCAACAAGCAAGTCTATTACTAAAACAACCCACACAGACTGGATTCAGAGAAAGACACCTTTTCTGGAAAAGTCAGTCCTGTTGCCTTTATTTCCTTTTGCAAATTGAAGCTCAAATTTCCCACTGAGCCTGAACTAACCGCAGGATCTTCCCTTTCACTTTTCAGTCCCGGTTCGCCAGTGTTCAGAGCAGCACTGGACCCATCTCTACCAGTTCTCAATAAACCTGTTAAACCTTCCCTTGGTCTCTCTGTTTGAATAAAATCATGACACATCTTTGGTTTATTGAAAACTTTTTCATATCTATCTTTTAACTGGTCGTTGTGTCTCCTTTTTATCTTTTCTTTTAACCTCTGCTGCACAGATTAACTTTTAAATTTTTTGTTACTTTTAGATGATTTTGTTTCTTGTTTGTTTAAAGTTTTCAGTTAAGTAGTTTTTGCCACTGTCACACTGAAACTTTCCTGATGAACCATCCAGAGGAATTTTTTTTCCATTATCATTTAAGAAAAGAAATGCTTTCAAGACTCTAATCCAAAACTTTGAGGAATACCTCATCTCCAGTTCTCATCTTTAGTTGCTTTGAGTTTTTAGTTTAAGTTTTCTTAAACAGCAGAAACAAAAGATCACCTGAACTCTTCCCTTTATTATGGCCAAATGAAAATACCAAACTCTCTTTCAATCCAAAATGAAATCTACGACCAATACCTTCCCCTGGTCCAGTAGTGATGTTGGCCTCCACCTCCGGCCCATAGATGAAGGTCTTGGCTCGGATGCGGAAGTTGTATGTGATGCCGTCGGCCAAATCTCGGAGCTTCAACCAGAGGGGCCCGCCCCCCTTCACGTCCACCGTAACTGTCTTACTGACGCCTGGGGGGGAGGGGGAGTGAAGACAGTCGGCACAGGCCACTGAGGGGTCTGGACAAACACACCACATTTAGAGCAGGTCTTACAATAAGTGAGCAGACTCTCCACACACACACACAGTTATGAAGTTATTCATTTCAGTTTATGATTCAAATCTAACAGCAGTTAAATAATCTGTTGTTTAAATTAGTGGAATGGGGTGATTCAAGAAAAAAAAAATATTTCAAAAGAGTGAAATGAGAGATTACCATCTACAGGGGTTAATGGCTCATAAACCAGACGGTAGCCTTCAATGATGCCGTTAGGAAAGGTGGGTTCGCCCCAGGACACGTTGACAGAGGTGGTGGTCAGCTCACTGAAGTGAATGAAACTCGGCGCACTTGGAGCTGGAATATAGAAAGATCAAACAGAAAAACAGTAACAATTTTGAAGACATGTTGAAAATTTTGAACAGGAATCTGTGAGCGAGGGAGAGAAACTGTCCAGGTCTGACCTGTTCATCCATTTCAATTTGCATGTTTTCTAAGCAAAAACAAGGCTTTGTTGGTCTACTATACAAAGCCTCGAACTTCACACTATTTCTGACATTTTGAACTGAAAAAAGCTTCCTGGATGGGAAGAGAAACGTCTTCACACTTGGAAAAATTTTGACTTTTATGGAATATCCAGGTTTGACCTTTCGCTAAGAATGCCGTTTTCTTTAAGGAAGTCAGCATGACCCTCAAACACTTAAATAGAATCAATGTACGTTAAAAATGATCAGTGAAGTTTTTTTTATAGGTTTTGTTTTACTCTTGTGAGTAACTCCATGCTTCCATTCGTTTTACCGCTGAAGGAAATCTGTTCTATCTTCAGTACGTTGGTGTCCTTTTAGCTGTTTCCAAATTCAGGGGTTTAAAAGTCTTTAATAATAATAATTTAACTTTATTGATCTCACATTACAGAAATTGCATTTGCATTTAACCCATCCCCTTGGGGAGCAGATACAACTTGTTAAAAATGTAGGGATTTTTATGAGCAAACTGGCATAACTGGGATTTTAACCCGATGTTCTGCCAGATCAGCATATCTATAGTCAATATGCATGCGCAAGACATCAGATTTAAACCTCCTCGAGGGGTGTGTATCTGTTAAAATGAGGAAGTTATGTCCCCTCAAAAAGCCTTTGTGCCTCGAGGGCTTCCTCACGGTTCTTTTCCTGGGAGCAAGTTATTTACTACTCTTAACTCAAACTGGGTAAAACCATATAAAAAGGACTATAAAACAGGAGTAAAAAATAACAGAGTTTATTCCAGATCAGGTCGTTACAGGACAGAGAAAACTGCTTGGAGCTTGCACAGCTGTGGACTCAAAAATCACGTCCGCGAGCGTCCGGCAAAGATTGAGCGCCAAACAAAGTCATCTCCTGCTTCTTATAGCTCATGAGTCTATGTGTTGCATCATGTTGATGTTGAGCTGTCTGTATCAGAAACTGACACGCCACCCATGTCTTGAACTTCATGCAGCTTGCTTCTATGCTTCAGGCATTAATGGTGATACTGCACTGGAAAAACAATTTAGAAATAAGTAAAAAAAAAAATCTTAAATTAAGTGTATTTACCCTTAATTTGAGTAGGTAAATGAGATAGTTTGCCAATGGAATGAGTACTTTTACTCTTAAAATAAGATATTTAAATCAAATGCACTATAAATAAGACAATGCAGTTGTTTTTTTTTCTTATTTTAAGTGTAAATTGTCTTGTTCCATCGGCAAAATGTCTCTTTTATCTCCTCAATCCAAGAAAAAATGCACTTAATTTAAGAAAAAAATGACTTATCTAGATTTCGATTTTTTCCAGTGTGGTGTAGCCCTCAGCTCCTAAGTCCTTTTAATTTGATGGGCCACGCCCTGTGTGACATCACCCCAACTCTATTTACCTGCGGAGTCAGAGTGCCACTCCCTCCTCCATTCCCCACCTGTGGCTGTTGCATGCTCTGTTGGCGTCTCGTTTCAAAAAAAGTTACTGGATCTTCCTAAAGATCTAATATTATAACCTGTCTTTTGGACTCGCTTCTCTCTCACAACTTGGGCCAAACCGCTCATGTTGTCTTTCATTAATACCACTACACAGACGGAGATCAACTTGTCATCCCTTCAACGGTGAGTTGTTAACTCCGATTCGGGTCATTTATTTTGTTTGCAGCGGCTAGATTTAAGTTTATATTCCGCGATTTGCGTCTTTTGTTTGTGCCGCTGCCTCCACTTAATTCCTTGCCGCGCTGAGTCCCAGCGTTATTATGAATTTTGAACTACGTTTGTAGTGTGTAAAATATCGCTTCTGCTTGTTTAATATAAATTATTTTTAATTTACATTCAAGCCGAATTGTGCTTTACATTTTAGTTTAGCAGAAGCGCCCCTTTTGTTTGCACTTTTGCTTCATTTTGCACTTTTTTTTCCAGCTTTTGACTGGATCATTAGAAAAGCAATGAGGTTTAGTTTGTTTTTTTTCTTCCTTCCTCTTACCTCATTGAAAATTAAGTAAATAATTGAATGTAGCTACTTGTGGAATTTGTTGCGCAACTTAAGAACTTAAGATCTGCTTGAGTATTTTTCTCTGCTCAAGTAATTTAATTGGAAAAGAGTTTTTTTTTTATACATTGAATATTCATGATTTATGGGAAAAAGTGCACTTGATTACAATGTGTTTTTGAGTATCTAAAACTTTTGTGATAATCTGTTAAATGATTTATTTATTTATTTATATAGTTATTTGTTATAGCTATATATATATGTTTGTATGTATATTGGTAAAATGTGTAAATATGGAAAACTATCTGCATGTATAAATGTGTTCCAAAATTTAATGCACACATATTTTAAACATGCAGATCTCATTGGTTAAGAACAACTGCTCATTTGTTTTTTTTTTTGACCATTCTAGGTCAGGTTTTTTTTTTTATGCCAGAAAAAGGACCTCGCCCTCACTACAATCTGGTTCACAACAACTTTTTCTTTTTCTAATTCAA